GTAGTGAACAGTATACGGGTGGGGACAATCGAATGTATTTAACACAAAATTACAGTACTTGTTAATAAAACCTAACAATCATAAAGTAAATGCGTCTTCAATCAGCAACATTTGCTTACAATTCTGTGGGAAATGACGGTCTTCGGGAAATTTAAAACCGCTTCAATCATCTTCATGTTCTGAAATGTTATGTTAAACAACTAATTTGAGAGTTATTAGCAGTGTTCCATAACAATCTTGCGTGGTAATGAAGTAATGATTTACAGGTCTTGGAGCGTGTGAATTACATCCGAAAAGTTTAAATTTTAATTCAATGTCCCAAATTTTAGCTCCATTCAACTCAAGATATAGAGCTCTGTAACCGACAAACAATTGTTTGCTCAGCAATGATTAACTTTAACATAAACTGTTAACTGACGAATTTCATCCATGTTGGGGGAAAACTATGAATCACTGAATAGATCGTATGATTGTCATACTAGTTCAAGAAATAATTTGTTGATTACTGATACTTCATTTTTTTTCAAATGAAATGATCATCACAAGCGTAACATTCACATACATGGACTACTTATATTTCAAATGTATGTCTCTGGAAATTGAAAATAGTACTAAATATAACGATTATTAATTCATTATATCACCATTTTTATTTAGCATTTACTTTAAATACATATGTATACACCTTGCAAGTACATCGATAGAGAATATTCTTGACAATAACTTCTCATCCGGCTTTATGATTATACAAATAAATTATTGCTGCTTGGATGGTGGTTGGAAGTAGTCAACGGGAGACCCTGGACCCGGGTTTCGTGCTACTTGGCACTCGTCAGCAAGGTGTACCTGTAATCTTGAGTGAACTGGTGCTCCCTGGCAGATTCGACCTCGTGTCATCCAGCTTCACAGTCAGAGACGTTACCACTGAGCTATCCTAGCCGCGACCGACCTCCTGTAGGACTGAGATGTAATCAAAATTGATTGATCACTGGGTGGCGATCAATGTCATGCGTGTCCAGTACTTATTAGTGCAGATCGAATGCTATCGATCTTGGTGCACCATCTAATCTCAATATATAGTGCACGCAGTGTAGAGTCACCTAGACCGGTGTTCGCATTGCAACATGATCGATTGCATTCGATCTGCACTAATAAGGACTAGATACGAATGACATTGATCGCCACCAAGTGAGCAATTAATTGAAATTATTGCTCCAAAAGGATCGTCAAGTTTATGAAAATCATACTTTAAAAAATATAGCACACGAATTCACTTATATACACTGTTTACTCGAGTAAGTTTGTTGGTTAAATGAAGTGGTGAGAGTAATCAGAATAATTATGATCAGTATAGGGTTTTGTGAAGATTATAGGTTTTTTCACCAATTTTAAGACACGAATAAATCTTAGTTCAACAACCAGTGGAAATCTGTAAACACTACTCAGTCCTGATACAGAAATCTTAAGCAGTACACATCCGCTACTACTCATCCGAGAATCAGACCTTCGGTTTCACCTGCGAATCCTTGACATCAAGACCACTGAGCTGGAATGAGCTGTTGATGTCTAATATCAATCGATTTACTATGTTGCAAAACCTTTATCCACCATCTGTAATAGATAATTGTTTCACACTCGATATCGTTGAACTCCACTGGTTACTGCTCCTCAGTAGGATTTCAAGAATTCTATTTCAAAACTAGTCATTAGTGGACACACAACTGTTATTAGTACATGGTTTTGTGAAAATTATAACACTTGCATCATTTCTGAATCATAAACTGATCTTAGACTATCAACGAAAACAAGAAAACAGGATGTGAGCTAACTAACTTCTGTATATGTCTACAAGATTCATAGTAGTAAACAATCATACTAAGTTTTGTTAGTAATAACAAGTATAATATTTGATCAATATAAAATTTAGAGAAGTAAAATATGAATTTGGAAGTTTGTAAATATATTAGTCAGACTGAATTATATTCTTATTCAAGTAAGAACTGATTTCTTATGTTGCTTCATTAATAATCCTGAATTCATTTCTTTATAATCTTCAATGATATATTTCCCCTTCAATCGGTTGTCATTTGGGATCACACAGTAGACCCTGAAGAGAATTGTTTGAAATGTATATTCGTTATTTAAATGTTTATTATTGTGAAGGGGATTTTTAAATGTTTATCTTTATTTAAAGTAAGATTTGTATTTAAATTATAATCTTAGTAATTGATATTTTAATAGGTTTCACAATTTTACCCAGGAAACTGGTTACAGTGTCTTTAGGGAAATAATCAATCATTTTACCAAGTGAGAAGTTAAAATTATTTAAATGGTAATCAGTGAGAATATTTCGAATAGGATGTTTTTGCGGCCTGTTATTTTAACGCCAATTAGATCAGGCGATGTTATTGACGGGTTCACTACTTTAGTAGCTCGAGATATGACTCCAATCCGATTGTTTGTTTGATTGTTATTGAAATATACAAAATGTCATTCCTCGTATAAAATTATCGACTTAAATTGCATTATTGAATAACAGTCAAATATGAGAAAGGATTATTCGAATGCATATATTTTGTACATTCATTGATCTAAATAGACAATCGAAGGAAAAAAGCGAAAGCACGCGCAGTGGAGAAGGCATGTGAGCCAATTCGATTTAACCAAGCATTAATCAATATTTATAGTCACACAAAAATAAGTTACATATATGTGATGATTGAGATGTGAAATGCACACAAATACACTTACATAAAAACAGTCAAGAATGATAAGTGAATAATTAACAAGGTCGAAATGTGACTCAAAAAGGATGGATAAATTGGCCTATCCAGAAGCTAGAATAATCTATGTATGCTTAACATAGCAACTGATACTACAATGTTTACTTATAACGTCTTCAATTAACCTGACAGTCAATTTCTGTCAAACGCTTCGTTCAAATTTTAATGAAAGATCATATAGATGCTCACTTATTGACATTATAAAAATAAACTCGAACACTTTAGTGAATCGTATTTTTTCCACAACTTGTCAAACCTATATCTTTCTTAATCTAAAAACTCAGTTGTAAAACTAAGTTTTTATCGAAATACCGAATCGTTTAATCTAATGTATTAAGCGATAAGTTTTCACTTGAATTATGAAGGTCATTTCTGCAAGCAATGAAATTAAACTGATCGATTTATAAAAACTATTACTAGATCAAATTAGAATTAATGAAAAGTCGACTGTATCACAAATGTACCAGATAACAGTGATGACATTACGTGCCTGTCATATTTTATTGGAAATTTGTTTACCAATAGCGTTCAAGAATGTAGTTGGTTTGTTTTTATAAGTGAACCAATTCCTTGAACTGATGCCTCGATTCTACATGTAGTTCAACGTTGATTTTCTAGTTTCGTATAAGCATCACTTGTGGATCTTAAGACATATGGGTGATTCTCTTCGTAAAGCTTGTAAAACTTCACTTCTCTAGATAATATTACCCCTAATTAAAATTAAATTCAAAGCCATTATTTACAGGTTTAATATATATCGAATGATTATATAATTGTTAGTGATTAGTAGGAATCACAATTGATTGATCACTGGGTGGTGATCAATGTCATGCTTGTCTAGTCCTTATTAGTGCAGATCGAATGCTATCGATCATGTTGCAATGTGGCCACCAGTCTAGGTGACTCCACACTGCGGGCACTATGTATTGATCACCACCCAGTGATCAATCAATTGTGATTATATCTCAGTCCTACAGGAGGTTAGTCACGGCTCGGATAGCTCAGTGGTAACGTCTCTGACTGTGAAACTGGGTGACACGAGGTCGAATCCGTCAGGGAGCACCAGTTCCCTCAAGATTACAGGTACACCTTGCTGACGAGTTCCAAGTAGCACGAAACCCGGGTCCAGGGTTTCCTGTTGACTACCTCCAACCACCATCTAGATTAGGAGGAATTAATAAAAACGTTTTCCGACAACGTTCAGACATTTAAAATAACATATCGAGGAACCAAGAAATTGAGCTGAGTTTCTTCTCAATAATCAGTTAAATATATTGGCTAATAGTATCTGACGCTGAACATTGGCGATGATAATTGATGTTAAAATGTTGAAAAGTATAAGTGTACATATTCATTGTAAGCATATGGTTCAGTGTATCTCAATTTGTTCAGCTGAATAAATCAAAACTAAGGCTAAACGGTTTAAAAAATAGATAATTTGATACCAACAGCCCCGCTTGGCACTCATAAGTTGGATGTCCATTCATCTCAGTTTTGGTGTTGACATTGATACTTAAACCTATTACTTTTCTCTTCAAGTTCCAAATGCTTATGCACTGAGATACTGAGTTCAAATAGCCATTGACTTGTGAAAACACGTAAAATGTTTATATATTTAATAGTAAGGCTTGCATTATCCAGTTGCTTGTATTCAGGAGGGAATTGTGATCAATCTTTGTTAGCAATTATCAAATACAACAAAACACATATTCTAGATTCCACTGTTAGTTATAATCCATCTATTCTAAAAAATTATATCGAGGCAATATAGATAGGATTTTTATATTCTAGAATATCAAAAAACGGGGCAACTCAATCTCTTTCTAATAGTCAATGATAGATTTACACCTACAATCTATAGAACGTTTATGTACTTTGTTGATAAGCAAAAAAGATTATATCTTGAAGTTAGTTAGCTTTTCGGTAGTTAAACAGTCATTCTAAAATATCAGGCGAACATTAAATTCATAAGTGAAATTAACCTGTACTACTGATTAAACTCCCATTTACAAATTAGAACATTACGTTCTACACACGTGATTAACATAATTAGAGGTTATATGAATTAACCAATAGAAGGCAAATTAGTGGGAACCAATCATGTGTCAATGTTTTCATATAATTAAACTTGGTTGATTGTAAAACATTTTCTCAAGCTCAGTATGCAAAGTACAGGACAGTTTAAATGTATATATATATAGCTGGAAAATTTTGCAAATGTCCGATACTAACAATACACCTACAGCAGTTAAATCATCGATACACTCCACTTCAAATGATGACAATAGATGTTTATCAAGCGATAGTAAACCATATAATGATTCAATAAGTAATTCTACTTGTAATGAAAATGTTCCATGCTGTTTAAAAGAAGAAGGATATCAAATGTTTCGGAACAGTTCACAAAAAGGTGTACATTTTTCAAAGTCCCCTCGAAAATCTGTAGACTCTCCAACCAAAACAACAAATGCAAACTCTAAAAATTGTAATTTATCTCCAGAGATAATAAATTCCTCAGTGAAAGAAGAACATACCACAAGTTCAAACTCTTCAATAAATGGAGCAGGTAAAAACTGGAAAAATGTTCGTCATACAATGAAATTTGTTCTGTCAAATAAATCTAAAAGCAAATCGGAACATGATGATTCTAGTCGTGATTCTTTTCTATATCGCTTTTCAACACAAAGACGTGGAACATATACACGAGAACATGAAAATCTCAATGAAACACCATTATTAACTTATCAAACATCTTTTAAAAATAAAAATGATACTAAACCACAAAATGATGATTATTCACAAAGTGGTACATTATATGAATCATGGTTTAATCAACAACAACAACAACAACAATCAGAGATTGATGATAAACAACATGAAATTGAACATTTAATTAAATCATCCTCATCACAATGTTCCATTGTAGATAACTTAATCAATAAATCAGAAATTGAACCAATGGATACTGGTCAAAATGATTCATTTTCATCACCTGAAAATCTAAATCCTGATCATCATAAAATAGAAATTGATATTGAAAAATCAATAAATTGGAAGAAACACATCTTATTATCATTTAAAATACCAATGAATTTTTTTATATTTCATTCAAATAGTTCCGGTTATTTAATATGGTTAACATTTGTATCCATAGCATTATTATATAATTTATGGGCACCAATAGCACGTCAAGCATTTACTGAATTACAAATAACTTATCAATTATTATGGTTTACTTTAGATACATTTGCTGATTTAACTTATTTAATTGATATATTTGTACAATGTAATACAAGTTATTTAAAATGTGGATTAAAAGTACGTGATCATCAAAAATTAGCTAAATGTTATATGAAATCTTATAAATTTCTATTCGATTTATTATCATTATTTCCATTAGATTTAATACAATTTAAAATTGGGATACAACCAATGTTACGTTTTCCAAGATTTTTCAAATGGTATCGTTGTCATGAATGGAAAATACGTGTAGAAAATAGAACTATATTTCCTAATTTATGGAGAGTATTAAATTTAATTCATATATTATTCTTAGGTTGTCATTGGTTTGCTTCATTTTATTATTTATTATCAAAATATGAAGGATTTAAAAATCCATGGGGTTATCAACCATATAATAATAATAATAATATTAATAATAATAATAATGAAAATGATACAATATCACGTATATATTTAAAATCATTTTATTGGGCTACATTAACATTAACAACAATTGGAGATCTTAGTGCACCAACAAGTAGTATAGAGTAAGTTGAATAATAAAAAATTTTTTTACTTTTTTTTACTTGGATATAATATAGATCTCAAATCGATAAACAGATACATTTGTGAATAAATCAATATTTCAAGGACTTAACTTTCTTAATTGTTTAAGTACTTTATTCATAACTCTTAGTGTTAATATCCTTAGGATTGGTGAAAATCATTATAGATTGATTTCAATACTGTTTAGTCTGTTAAAACAAAAAAGAAAAATATCGAAACTTCTCTATTGAGTTTTATTGATTAGTTATTGAGTTTATAGATTTTCAATATTCATAATTGATTTGTAGTTGGATTAATTAAATGACTATAATAGATTACTTTGTTGATTTATGGTGAAATGTACCTAAAACTCAAGTTTTTTTTTAAAAAATAAGTTTTTCACGAGACTATAATTTATGGACGGACCAATCACGTAGAAGATAACAGGATTCGGATTTTGACACGAAATTCACTCATTCATTTGAATCAATAGAGTTTTGGCATTATAACTGATGCCAGTTCACGATGAAAATCCTTAATCTAATTTCTAACCTTAATTATAAACTATAAATTATGATTCTAATTCCTCATACAGGTTCATAACCCTCATTTGGGCCTAGTTACAAGATGCACACTCTCAGGGTCACTCTGACGTCATTCAAAGGTCGTCCATAAATTATAGTCGCACCAAACTTTTAATTTTAAATCATAAGTTACATGGTTTTACCTTTGAAATGTTTATCAATCAAAAATCTATATTCAGTCTGAATCATTTTCCATTTACAATTAAAAACATGTATATCTGATATCCATTTGTGATAAAAAAAAGTTTGATTCCAGTGCTTTTTCAGTAAATTGATGGAGTTTGACTAACAATCTCAGTTTACTAAATGTTTTACTTATACAGTGATTTATTTATCCTTCACAAGATAGAGAGGGAGAGAGAGAAGAAATGGAAATTGTTTGAAGTATAGTTTTTATAACATCATCTTTCGTGAACAAGTTTGTAGCTGTTATCAAATACAAAGGTGTTCAACATATTTGAAATTATTTACAACATTTTAGAGAAAGACAATTCTCTTTACTCAGCTTTCCATAATACATTTAAATTGAAAAAATATATATTTCAATAGTGATCTAACATCAATCGATTCATGATCTCAATCAAAAACTTAATAATCTTCACAACCCCATACTGATAATTATCACTAGTGACTAGCTTCGTGAGGGACTTCTCAAAGTTCTAGTGAGAAGCCGTGACCAGTGCAGCTATTCCATGTAAGTAGAGACAGTTACCTATCTCAGTACAATGGAACATGGTTTCACAATTTCATGGATTGGTTGAGGTTAGACATTAACACCGCTGGATACTGGCTCAGTGGTCTAGAGATGAACAGTTCAGCCTTCTACTGTAATTTCATTCTTTCCTCCACAATCATATTCGATTTAGTAGAGTTATCTACAAATAATTTATTATTAAACAGTGTTTTTTTCATTTTCCAAGTTGAGGTTATCCTACATTAGTATTGGTATTTGTGCCTTTGTTTTACTTTCACAACAAACTGTTATAGTACATGTTTAAAGACATTTATGAAGTAATATCTTATTTAGTTTGATTCTTTGATTAATTCATTTATTATTTCTGGAAATACTATCAAATTTGTAATAATAACAACTGACATATCACTCCTTGATTGCTCATTCTCTTAATTATACTTTAAAACATATAATATTAAATAATTAATTAATTATCGCGAGGCGAGATTGTGGATGCGCATTGCTGAAGAGTCCTACAATGGAACGAAACGGACGTCCAGTACTTCCAGGTTTTCCATAGTGGTTTAGCTTCATTTGACTCATGATCCCAACTATTAGAATTACTATATTATCTACAAAAACCTCTTCTGATACTCATTAAAATAACCAATTTCGTCAATGAATAAAAATAAAAATAATTCAATGAAGAACAGCTTCTTTTCAATGAAAACATTTACTTAAGCCATACATTAATATTTATAGTGATAAAGAAAGTATATGAGTCTATGAAAGGATAGAAAACGATTATATCATAAATGGATTCAAAACTCTATTTAACTATAAATACAAATATACAGTTTAAGTAAATAATTTCATTGAAAAGAACATTCTCATCAATGAATTCTCTTTATTTTTCTGCGTTTAATCATGTTCAATCTTCATGTAAAGTAACATTATTATTACTATTATTATTATTATTAGTAGTAGTAGTAGTATACTGATACAGTTTACTGAATGAATTATTGACATAAATCATAATGTTTCATTTAAGATTATCATCTTATTATAATAATTTATCTTTAGTTATTTATTATATGATTTTTAGAAAAAAACAAACATTGAATGTAAGACAATGACCACCATTGCTTCGAATCTTTCAATCTCTCTCGCCTCCTTCTCTCTTTCTCTCTCTCTATCTCTATATATATATATATAGTTACTGTATGCACAATTAATTTAAATTTATATTTGTAATTGAATTGCTCCAGTGATTAACTCAATGGTGAAAAGCAAAACTGTTCACTATCGAACGATCACATAAATAAACATCAAATATATAATGGAAGTAATGATAATAATAATAATAATAATAATAATAATAGTGATATACGAATTGAAGGCCACTTTTGTTAAGAGACTTTTATTAGTAGTATAAGGAATTTAATTAACTTAACATAATCTAATTTTATTTTTCAGTTGGATCTTTTCATCAATTTCACATATCTTATTATTTATTAAATAAATAAATAAATAAAAGTTTTAGACTGATGTAGATTTTTATTTATTTATATGAGTATCAACTAAATGGATTATTACGATAAACTAAGATTTATGAGCCACACTTAAAAACAATGTTGTTTTAAACAAGATAAAAAGTCACTAATGACAATGGTGGATGTGTAGCTCAATTTCGACGATTAGTTGAAGTTAGACATTGACATGTTTGGATGCCGACCGGCTCAGTGGTCTAGTGGTTAAGCGCACGCATGCGAGACTGATAGATCCTGATTTCAAATTTCACGAGGTGAAATCGAGAATGCGCACTGCTGAGAAGTCCCATAATAGGACGAAACGGTCGTTTACTGTTTCTAGTTTTTCATGGTGGTCTAACTTGAATTGACTCATGATCTCAAACATTAAAATTACGACAGATTTGTAGATGTTTTTTTAGGAGTCAGATAAACAACGATGATAAAGGACTCATTAGTTTCAAACAGTACTAAATTTGATATCAATAAGTAATGAAGTAATAATCACAATTGATTGATCACTGGGTGGTGATCAATGTCATGCTTGTCTAGTCCTTATTAGTGTAGATTGAATGCTATCGATCATGTTGCAATGTGGCCACCAGTCTAGGTGACTCGACACTGCGGGCACTATGTATTGAGATTAGATGGTGGTTGGAGGTAGTCAACAGGAAACCCTGGACCCGGGTTTCGTGCTACTTGGCACTCGTCAGCAAGGTGTACCTGTAATCTTGAGGGAACTGGTGCTCCCTGGCGGATTCGATCTCGTGTCACCCAGCTTCACAGTCAGAGACCTTACCACTGAGCTATCCGAGCAGTGACTAACCTCCTGTAGGACTGAGATGTAACCACAATTGATTGATCACTGGGTGGTGATCAATGTCATGCTTGTCTAGTCCTTATTAGTGCAGATCGAATGCTATCGGCTCGGATAGCTCAGTGGTAACGTCTCTGACTGTGAAGTTGGGTGACACGAAATCGAATCCGCCAGGGAGCACCAGTTCACTCAAGATTACAGGTACATCTTGCTGACGAGTGCCAAGTAGCACGAAACCCGGGTCCAGGGTTTCCTGTTGACTACCTCCAACCACCATCTAAATCTCAATGAAGTAATAATCTTTGGAAAATATCCATAAGCTTTATTTAAACTAGAAATAGATATGAAAGGATAATTTCATTTAGAATATGTAACAGCTGTTAAGTCACTGAAAACCAGACAATATTGAACGTCTGTTTGGTTCTGTTCACGTTTGTATCTAAGGAATTTGTATTAAAACTCGGCATAAAGAAATATGACACTCTTTAGTTGCTAATCTGGATAAACATTTTCATTTTCAAAATTTTTTTATTTTGGAATGATCAATATTGAATAAACAATTAATATAGTATTTAGATAATTATGGATATCTACAGAACATTGCTTACATTTTTATTGGAAGGTTTTCAATCAATATGCTATCAATATGTTATAAAAACTTGATATACAAATAAGTCCATATTCCAAAAGCAAACCGCCAGACGCTCAAATATTTTTAATAGACTGAGGTTTCCTGAGATGAGTAGTGTATTCGTCACTCAATCCTTATCTTTGTAGACAAGAACATTAGCATAAATAAAAGTGGCCGATTTTTTGAAAAAAATTTATGGACAACTGTAAGGTTAATAATCAAGTCAATGAGATGAAATCAAAATAATTAAAATAAATATACAGATAATGACAGAACGAGTTGTTACTCATATGTTAGAGTCAATTGAAATAGTTCACTTCTATAATAAATTTGTACTTATGATATCAACTGGAAAAAAACAATGATGCCTCTCAGATCAGATGATATAACCATCAAGATCAATTTCCTTAGCTAGAAAACTCTTTACATTATATCTAGTAATAAATGTGCCGATTATAATTTTCTATGAGTATTATATATATATATACTTACTTACGCCTGTTACTCCTAATGGAGCATAGACCAGTATTCTCCAAACCACTCTGTCCTGGGCCTGTGGTGTGAGCTACTTATATTGATATAAGTAGTATATAACGTGCGTTAAAAGAACGTAATGTCGGGCAGCAGAAGATGGCGAAGATCAAGAAAGGAAGAGCAAGAGCACAATGGAATTGTAAGAAAACGCATGTACAATGGAATGGGAGACAATGGATTAGTGTTTGCAACGGGAACAGTACAGTTTGATATGATGGAATGATATTTTGCAAA